TGTGTTTTAAAAAAAAAAAAAAAAAAAGTCTAAATTTGTTTACAGATAAATCCACAAATTGCTCAAAAAGTGCTGGGTCAAATGTCAGCAGGCCCAGTTGTTTCAGCACATGTATAATGTATAATAAATGAACAATGAACAAATATTAGTGTTTTGATACATCTTAAACATTTTCTATATGCTAATAATTTTTTATTAGGGCTAATTGTTTTTTTTCTGCAAAATGTAAATAGATTGGCCAAATTTACAACACGGAGGTGCAAGAAGTACAGAAATTTAGTGAAACTAGCATTTAAAAAACATGCTTAAACTATCTTTTTTTTTTTTTCGCCAGTCCCTAAGGTAATAATGATGACAGTTGAGTTTCTAAGCCACCCACGTCTGTTCACTGACCGTCTGATGCTGCAAACTTCAATCAGCAAACATCAATCACACTAACTGACTGCAACAACTTGCAACATCTCACCTTTTGTCGTGTTTTTGGTTTACACAATGCTGAATCACTTCTGTCTTCCTTCTGTATCTGGACTGCATAAATGATAACCACAGAAGTGTTAAAACAAAGTTTTCAACAATTGTGTCTTAAAAAGATAAATAATACTACGGAATAATTGCATGCGCTCCTGACCGTTTTTTCGACATTTCTTGCAGGTCCAGAAGATCCTAATGACTGCAGCTACAATCAACAGAAAACTAGACGCAGCCGCAGAGATCAGCACTATGAGAAATAAAGGTAGGCCTTCACCTGAAAGGGACAAAATGAGCCAATAGTGTGAGTGAATCGGTCCATCAAACATCAACACTGTATAGCTGAGAGTAAATCAATATTAATATCACCATACCTGCACATGTGTGACAAAGTTGAGTGATGTCCAGATGTTGAGTCTGGTTGCTGATGGGATTGTTGAGCACACAGCTGTAGCTGTTTTTATCCTGATATTCCACCTCCAGAGGTAGAGAGAGACTGATGCTGAGATCAGACACACTGATGCTGGACAATAAACTGCTTCCTTTGTACCAGGAGAGAGTCACATGACTCACATTCACCACTGAACACACCAGTGAACAATTCTGCTGTGATGATGATGATGATGATGAAGAGGATGATGAACATTGTGAAGAGTTACTGCTGATGACAGGAACAGGCAGACGAGCTGAAAACATGAGAATAAAGAGAAATATGGATACATCTAATGCACAATGTTATTTTCGGTGTAGTGTGTTGACTGTCAGTGAGTGTTTCCATCATCTCAAAATATAAAACGATTAAACATTTCATGATGTAAATAGTTAAAGGAATATTCAGAGTTCAGTACAAATTAAGCTCAGTCAGCAGCATTTGTGGTGCATGATGTTGATGACCACAAAAAAACAATTACAGTGCACATTAATCTTTGTCTCATCATTTCAAAGTCCAGGGTCCCAGTAGTCTTTGCCTTTGTTAACATGAGCACCGGCAAATTCTAGACGGGCCTTTTTTGTGCATGGGCTGCAGCTGTGGCTTCGTTCGTGGACGACACCATGCATGCCAGTCCTCTGCAGTGTACGTCGTATGGTGTCACGGGAAACATTTGAATGATTTAGCTAGCTGTACTGATCGTGCATGGCAACTTTTCAGCTTTTCTCATCACAAAATGCCCTTGACGAGGTGTTAACTTCCATGGACGGCCTGGAGGTCTCAGCGAGCTTCCCACAAGTCCATCCTTTTTGAATTTTTGGATCACTTTTGTGACCGTATTCAAACAAGTAATGCTTTGTTACGTTCCTTAAACTTTTTTTGTGCAAAGAAATTTTTTTTCCCAGCTCTTGTGACATTTCTTTTCCATGTGGTGCCATTTTGTCAACATTATATGAGAGTGGATTTAAATACCACTCTTAATTGTCAATTATTCTGTGGCCACCTGTGTGATGATTGATTAGACTCATCTGCTGGCTAATTCCTGTTAATTACAATTTTATTTTATGTTTTCTCCTAAAACATTCATTGGGGTGTACTAATTTTTGCACCATGATCTTAAATGATTTTTTTCGAGTAGTTCCAATTTTGCCTTTGGTACTGACTAATCTCATTTAAAACCAGTTAACCAGATTTTCACAAATATTTCATTGTATAGGATCCCATAGAAAGTATGAATTTAAAAGCGATACGGATATTTTTCTGAGAAATCTGTCGGGGTGTACACATGTACTGTATGCTGTGCGCTGTATGTCTCGCCGCTTGTTTTCTTAAAAAAAAAAAAGAAAATAATGTATGTTACAGTGAAGTGCTTACAATGGGTCTCAATGGGGTCAATCTGTAAACACTAAAATACTGTTTAGGTACTGTGTAAAGTTAAAGTCGTATTTAATAACTTTGTCACTTGATAACACAACAGCGTAAATGCTCGGAAACATTTAATTATGATTTAAACAGCTTTACAGGTCAAATAATATACGAGTCTTGGCAAAATAATTAATGTCATTTTTTTAATCAAATTATAAGCTTCACATTTCTACTTTTATATCTTCAAATAATTGACCTCACTGACTTCCATTAAGCACCTTGCCGTAATCTTGATTTTTTTATTTATTTTTCTTGACGAGTCAAGATAATTTTTCTGGTAATCAAAGACTTTTTTTTGGACAAATGATCTCTACTCACCATAGACAGAAACATTGAATGATTTTGATGTTGTTCTCGCTTCAGTTATCTCTAGTTGATAAACTCCAGCATGTTCAGTTGTGATGTTTGTGATGATCAGAGATCCAGTTTGTTTGTCCAGCTTCAGTCTGTCTTTGAATCTCCCATCAGTACCATCATATGTGAAGAACAATTCATACTTTCTATTGATTTCAGCTATAGTGTACTTTTCAGCTCCATATTTCCACAGCATACTTTTGTTTTTCTGTATTTCAGGAACATCAATGTATAAAGTGACAGAATCTCCCTCCATCACTGGCACTGACTCTATTTCATTTGTTTCAGCACCAAACACACCTGATGAACAGATTTTACATATTTTAATGTTAAATATATTTTTTTCTGCTTGTAGAAAGTTGCACACAAGATAAATACAGAAAATACAGTAGTTTCATATTTGGTTAATTATAACAGACTTACTGAGAAGAGACTTGAATCTAAAGTAGATATCATTATAATATCTGTGAATTTGCAAATGCAAATCCTCGAATTATTTTGAACAGTAGTGGCATCTTTTTTTCTCTGAAACAAAAATAAATGAAGCAGTAAAAAATGTATTTCTAACTTACCAATCAGACAACACAAACAGAACAAAACAAGTGTGTGAAACATTTTCTTTAGCAGTTCAGCGAAAACTCTGATCTAATAAGATACTGATACTCATGTGTGAGTCCTCCCCCGACAGAGTTTGACCACCCTACTAGCTCACAGGCACGTGTGTGTGTGTGGGTGGGTTGTTCTGGCTCTGAAAACTGGAAAGCACTTAAAAAATTTTACATTTATGGTTTCTGAAAGGTTGTTTTTGACTGTCAAATAGGAAAAAAAATGTGGAAAATTGGATTAGTCAACCAAAATTTAATAATAATTATATATCCAGTCTTACTGAAGTGCAACATGAGCAGCTCAGTTTCTGGGTCAAACTGAAACCTGCTGTGGTCTGTTTTCTTCAAAAGTCTGATGTGATCTGTTGGGTGGACAACTAGCATGTGCATGAAAACGGCCATTTGTTTGATGTATGCTTAGTTTGTAGGTGAAGGGCTTCTTCACAATACACAATACAGCATGAAAAAATATTTTAACCTATGATATTTTACATAGACTACATAGTAGTATAGCTCTAGTATTTTATAGTGAGAAACAGTAGCCAAACCCGGACTTCTATTTGTTTTGTGTCCTTGACACTGACAGGTACTTTGGTTCGTAAGACGTAAAAATCATTTGATAAAAAAATCTGTATTCAATGTCCTGGACATGGCCACAAAGTACAATTTAGTTGGATCCATGACCCATATGACAGTGAGTAAGGGTCAGGAAACCTCAACACCATTGCTAGGGGTTAGCTTAATTCGTGCAAGACAAAAGCCCCTTTCACACATACAGACTTTACTGGTAAATTACCGTTAAGAGATCATGTGTGAACAGTACCTTTTCAAAAATACAAATAAATGTATTCCAGCAATTTACCGGTATGAGAAGTGTCGCGGGGTGAATGAGAACACAGACTCGGTACTGATAGAAAGAGCCCCGGAGGGGGATTTATTGCCCACACACTGATCACACGTACTCGGAGGAATGGTGCTCGGTGCCCGTCTCAACGTGGTGCTCGTGGGGTGAAGTGCCTAGGCCGAAGGGTAGCACCCGGTAATGCCAGTGGCCATTGGGAGTGCTAAAGGCTGTCTTCTCCCGGGACTCCTGGGAGAGGGGCACCTGCCAATATCCTTTGGTGAGGTCCAAGGTGCTGATGTATCGAGCCTTGCCCAGCCGGTCCAAGAGCTCATCCACCCGCGGCATGGGGTAGCCATCAAAGGCGGAAACTTGATTGACCTTCCCGAAGTCGTTACAGAACCGGAGGGTGTTGTCCGGCTTGGTCCGGAGGGTGTTGTCCGGCTTGGTATAAAGGTCCAGAAATTTGTCAAGTTTTTCGTCAGATGTCTTTTTTATATGATGTCATTACGTTGCTGTCTTGCCGTCAGCCAGTCGCTGCATTGCTGATCGTGGTTTCGAGTATCAATATATTTGCCCTTTACGGGGAACACGAGAACGTGCAGTAATCTTAGACAACTTAATCCAGATATTTTAATCAAATTCGTTTCAAGAACCAAATTAGCCAGAGATCAGTTATCACGATTAGAAGATCTGGCATCTATCAAATCATCTTAGATGTATTGTCATTACGTTGCTGTCTTGCCGTCAGCCAGTCGCTGCATTGCTGATCGTGGTTTCGAGTATCAATATATTTGCCCTTTACGGGGAACACGAGAACGTGCAGTAATCTTAGACAACTTAATCCAGATATTTTAATCAAATTCGTTTCAAGAACCAAATTAGCCAGAGATCAGTTATCACGATTAGAAGATCTGCATCTTTCTAATCATCTCAAATGTATTAAGCAAGGTACGAAGAACGGCCCCAGCATACTCAACATACTCTGAGTTGAATGAACTTACTCCCGGACGCGTTTTTGGAACCACATACCTCGAGTAAGCAAGGTTTGGGGTTAATCAACCCGAAAGTTCAGGGTTTAGCTGACGGCAAGTTAACCGTGCTTTCTGGAATACACCCCCGGGAGGCGCAGCTTTTTATTATTATTATTATTATTATTGCAGAGAACGGGGGTGTATTCCAGAAAGCAAGGTTAACTTACCGTCACATATACCCCAAACTCTCAGTTGAATAACTCAAACCTGGCTTATTTGGGAATAAGTTCAGTCAACTCAGAGTATGTCCACGGTTTACACACAAGAGATTCTCAACAGAGCAATGAATCGTCGAGTCACCATGGAAACCATGCTGCTTCTTTCTTCTTCTTTTGTTCAATGGTCATTTACATATTTACTTTATATCACCACCTAATTGATGGTTGTGCAATCATTTTTCATTTTCATTCAATCTTTTAATCACTGAGAATAAGAATTATAATGTTTGTTTGATGCTAATTATATAATAAGAAATATCACATATGCATTTTTATTTTATTGAGAATAAAATAAACATTACATTGTTATAATAGTGTTTTAAAATTAATATATATCGCTACGAAATATGACAATAAATATAATAAAATGTTAGAATAATATAATATTACCTTTATATAATTAACATATCATACTATTATACACATACATATATGTATGTATGTATGTATATAAATCATATATAATATTATAAGGTCACGCATGTGCTGATAGCGCTGAAGTAAACTAACCCTGAAACATAACCTACTCCGGAGCAGGTTATGTTCAGGGAATAAGTTGCTATGGCTACTTAGAGTTACCTCCGTTTTTGGAACTGAAAGCTGAGTTTATCCTCTTACTTACCCTTAAACATACCCAGGTATGTCACATATCCTGCTTTCTGGAATACCCCCGGGACCATACAGAAGAAGAGCATACATCACATAATATCAAGCTGTTTAGAGGTCACTTCTGGTTAATGATGTCACAGAATTTACCGGTAATTTGAAACCGATGTGTGAATGATGCTTTACCGGTAGCCTAAAAAGAAGGAACGTAGTTAGCTGTGTGAACAGCGCATTTTTGTATTTACTGGTAAAGTCGTTCCGGTAATGGCAATTTACTGGTATTACTGTGTGAAAGGGGCAAAACTGTCTTCTGCTGGCAAAGCGTTAAAAATTGGAGAAGGCATTCGGATGATCAATGTTGTAAATAATGAGATCTCAGTCCCATAGGGCTACTGAAGAACTTTCACTTTCTACTCGCCCACGAAATGCGTCATCCTTGTTTTGTTATATAGCAACATTTGAGATGACGAAAACGTTGAAACAACACGGACTTTTGTATCCACAGAATCGGCATTCGTTTTTCAGAGAAACGGTGATGAACCTCTTAGTTTTCGTCCCAGCGTGGGTTTTGCAGCTTGGTAAGTCTATTTGTTTTTGCTGAACGATAATGGCGCATGTGACTTCTACAAACTTCACGTCCAAATCGTCAAATCATGTAACGTAGCTCCAAGACGTGCTTGGTATTAAAAAGAGTTATTAAAAATTGTATTAAACCAAGAAAGGGATAAATCGCTCTTTCTCAGGCGACTGTCTGTGCGCAAGCCCGGGCTTATTTTGCTTTCGATACAATAGTACCAATATTTTTAAAGGCCAGTATTGTCGATATCGATACTTTTAAACTGAACTTTTCAATTATGAAATGTAGTAAATTACTAGGAGCAAAATGGGTAATGATATCCACTTAACTTTATATTTGAAACGCATTTTAACATTCAGTAGGCTAGGCTACTCCTTAATTGCAGTGGATCCACTGTATAGAGCAATACTCTAATGGAATTAGTGGGCTAAAGTCAGTCACACCTCGACTTTCTTCCAAATAACGCACATTTCATTCATAATATTATAAATACAGGCCTATAGTTCCTGTACATTTTTGTGTGAAATGGCTAATAAAAATAGGTAATACAAAACGATTATGTGGTCACCAAGGTGAATTGGTTTAGTCTAGACTTCTGGTCGTGAGTGACAGTGTTGGGGGGATGCGAAATCTGTTGATTGTCGAGTGCCAAATAAACACAGAGATGGACAGGAAAAGGTCAAAGCCACCAGGTGCCCAGTTTCTCTGTATGATTATTATGGTATCCATGTCATGAATGAAGGGCTAATGTTAATTGGTGGGTATAACTCTTAAGTTTGTTAGCCTTTTTGCTATGATGCTTGCTATGCTTATACAACAATAATTCGGTTTTAACTCAACAAACACGATATCTAATTTCACCATAATATTGTGCTTTGCAAGAAAACTGTTACACGTTCAGTTATTATTTATTTCCATCAGTTGGGTTAACGTTAGGCCGTGTAATTAGCCAACGGAATTTTCAAATCTGTGTAATTATAATTTAAATCGGACTACTTTTCAAACTGTATTTCATAAACCAACATCTCAGACGTTATGTCAAAACGTTATGGGGTTTCAAATCAAAAAATGACTTTCTGTTACAGAACAGGGCATTGATTTCATACATGTCCACTGTAGAGGACATCAGGACTTAAATCATGTTTATCAGGCATTTTGGGAGACACAACAAGTGAATATGGAAGTAAATTACATCAATATTCAAGCAGAGAGGAGCTTTTCAAAACTAAAGTTGATCAAGTCGTATGAGGTCAACCATGTCCCAGGAACGGCTCACTGGCCTTGCCGTCATCAGTATCAATCACTCAATAGGGGAGCAGATTTCATACGATGACATCATTGATGATTTTGCATCAAGGAAGGCCAGAAAGGTCAGGTTTTAGTTTTAGTTTGTGTTTTCTGTTCTTAGTGCAAAAGTTTCATAATTAGATTCTCTTTAGTGTGCTTTCACATTTGTGTGATGAAGGAGTTGTGCTATTTAGAATATTCTATATTTTATTTGTATATTATTTTTAATATTTTATATTATTGTTGTTCTCTGTTCTTGTTACATTTTTTATATATCTGATTGTATATATTTTTGGTCTCGCCCAGGGTATAATTCAATGTAGAACCGCCACTGATGCTTTCTTATGATACTTTTGGGAAACGCAGCCCTGTTTGCACTGTCAGACGTGAGTAAACGCTGTCTGTGATTGATTGGTTCTGTCTTGCAACATTTGCGTGTGTTCAGATGAGCAGGGAAGTTTATATATATTTATTTAGTTATTCGTCCAATTCATATTGTATGCATTAATGTTTTTGTTAAATAAAATCACTGGTAAATAAAACACTTTAGTATCGATATTTTTATTTGAGTATCGATACTTCAGAAAGTGCTTCATATACAGCACTGCGTATTAACCAATCACACACCATGCTGTTGAGCTTATGAATGCAATGACCAATCAGAGGTGTTCAGATGAGTCATCGCTAAAATGCCGGTGTTTTCTTCACTCGCTCGCTGACTGAATACCGCTTTCTGGCGAATTCTCTCGTCAGAAACAACAAAGTGCAAATGTCTGTAAGATATTCATTTAATAGTGTAAACAGCTTTTTGAGAGTGCTTGAACTACTGTAGACTGTCAGTGAAAATGTTCTTTGATAATGTAAATGTTCTTTGCTCTCTCAATGAAAGTGTTATGATTAGTAGCCTAACTTGCAAGGATAACTCCCCCAACTCGTGCCCCCTCAAAAATATTGAGTGCAAGACGCCCATGCCTGGTAGAAAGTAAAGTCATTTTAAGCAAAACCGCTGGTGTTTATCTACAGATCAAGTACAATAATAGGAACATTGTATCATCCTAGAGAGAGTTTCGTCAACTTGAATTTAATGACTTTAATATTCATCTGTACCTCACATTAAACTATGGAACGGTCTCAGAACACTTGAAATATAGTGCACAGAAACTTTATGGTGCTTTTATAAAGTTTTTGTGCCTTTCATGGGGCTTAACAAAAACACAGAATAGTATACGCACAATATCGGATTTGGATCGGTCACATCTGACCGATACCCCGATCCAGCAGAAAATGCCAGTATCGGAGCGATACCGATCCTGAATATCGGATCGGCGCACCCCTAATATATATTCGATGTAGTTCATTTTATAGATTTCTGACTCTGAGCAAATCGGTTTTTCCTTATCATGTTTTTTTACCATATCAAAAATGCCTTTTGTTCCGGCACTTACAGTTCCCTCTGGATAACAATGACACTTTTGATGTTGTTTATACTGTAGGCCTACTGTAGTCAGAGTTCATCACATGCTGTTTTGTTGAAACTGAAACCTTGTGACTTGTGACAAATATATATAATGCAATGTCTCATAATCAAGAATAAATGTATTCAAAATCAAACATTCAAACATTTTCACTGTTGTTGTACATGTCCTACTTTTTTGAAGTGATTTATAATAAACTGTTCATTTCTCTTCCAGGTGCATTGGGTTTTTATACAGACAGAGTGCCAGTGTTTGTGATGGTGGAAGATTCAGTCACTCTAAACACAAATGTTAAAACAAACCAACAAGAAAAGATTAAATGGTTTTTCAACCACACTCGTATAGCTCAAATCAGTGATTATCTCAGTAAGACCTGTACAGATGTTCAGTGTAATGAAGGTACTGAGAGATTCAGAGACAGACTGAAGCTGGATCATCAGACTGGATCTCTGACCATCATGAACATCATATACACAGACCCTGGACTGTATAAACTACAGATCATCAGCAGTAACAGCATCAGTGAAAAGATCTTTAGTGTCACTATTCATGGTGAGTTTCCATATTTTCATGTGTTTCGTACCTGTTTCCTTTGTTCTAGTTGCCAGTTTGTTTTCATAGACACTCACTGTTTGTTTTCACCTGTGTCTTATTTAGTTCCTAGTTTTCTTGTGTATAATTGCCCTCAGTTCCCTGCAGTTCAATGTCCAGTATTGTCTTTGTAAGTTGTGCAAAGTGCAAAGTTGTTCTTCTACGTTCCGTGTCCTCACCATTCGAATTCGAATCACAATCACCATTATATTTATTTTGTAAATAAACTTCTATCGCTGCAAATAGATTCACATTCAACAATCAGATGTTTATTTGTGTTTCAGATGTTCCTGGCGTAGAGACAGATAAAACAAAGGCCGAGTCAGTGAAGGAGGGAGAAACTGTCACTTTTGATCCTGGTGTCATAAACAACCCAAATTATTTGATGAGATGGTATTTTAATGACATTCTCATCACTGAAATCACTGGAAATCAGAGTAAGATCTGTACAGATGCTGATGAGAGATTCAGAGACAGACTGAAGCTTGATCATCAGACTGAATCTCTGATCATCACAAACACCAGAACCACAGACTCTGGAGATTATCATCTTGAGATCGTCACCAACAGCAGCAGCATTCGCCGTCAGTACAGCATCAGAATTATCAGCGAACAGAGCCATAGTGAGACTGTCACAAGTGAGATGATTCAGCCATTCAGCTCATTCACTTGAGGAGGTTTAGAATATAATTCAGTGAATTTATGTTTTCACTGTGGCCCGTCTGAAACGTGTGGTCTCACTGATCACTGTCACTGACATGCATATCAGGTCACAGTAAATGCATGTTGTTCTATCGGTGCTGATAGCCTAGTGGTTAATGCACTGACATGTAGTGCAACTGCACCTCCAGCGACCCGAATTCAAATCACAATCCCATTCCCCACTCTCCACCCCATGCTTTCCTTTCAGTCTTCACTGTCCTGTCCACTTAAGCATGAAAAAGGCCAACAAAAAAAAGCATGTTGTTCACAGGTCGAAAGTTATTAACTAACTGATCTCTATCACAGAGACATGCACGTCAAATGTCATAACAATCACGTGTGGTTCACAGATAAAAAAGTTATATCATTAATGCATAATATCATTTAGTTTACCCATTAGCACAGTACTGAGGAATATAGACAGTAACACTAGATGGCGCCATTTCTGTTCACCCAGTATCATTTAACTGATGAATGTGGAAGGGTGTAATTATCAGTTAAAGGGGTCATATGATGCGATTTCAATTTTTCCTTTCTCTTTGAAGTGTTACAAGATCTTGGTGCATAAAGAAGATCTGTAAAGTTGCAAAGACTAAAGTGTTTCCTGGGAGATTAGACTACAATGCCGGCTGTTCTGACCTACAGACTGTAAGTAAGTTTTTCATATTTAAAGAATTTGCCACTGATGATTCAAACGCGAGTTTTGGGCAGTGTAGAGAAGCGCTTGTTGTTTGTCATTTCTCCGATCAAAAATGCAGACATGGTTTTATGTTTATGCGGATCGATACGCAACGCAACGCATAAAAAGACAGAATAAGTCATTATAATCCGTAATTATGTCCCCACTGGATGCAACAAATGCCTCGTTTATAATGGGTTTTAATGTTTTTGTCTCGTCGCTCCGGCCTGACGGCATCATCACAGTATGGTGAGGGGCGTAACATTTCCGTCACACGCTTGAGGTATTCGGCCAATCACAATGCACTGGATAGCTGGCCAATCAGAGCACACCTCACTTTTCAGACCGATGAGCTTTGTAAAAGTCGGCGTTTCAGAAAGGCGGGGCATACAGGAGAAACAATAATGTGCAGTATGTGGAAAATAATGTTTTTTTAACCTTATAAACCGCATAAACACATTTCATTACACCAAATACACAAAATAATGTTATTTTTAGCAGCATCAAATGACCCCTTTAAAGATATCTAAAAAAAATCAGTTGTCAATCTCTAGTAATAATGACTGTTTGTCTTTTTCATTACAGACTGGATTGTGCTTGTACTTGGTATAGCAGGAGCATGTGTTGGTGTTCTGCTGGTGTTTGCAGGTGTAACTGGTGAGAATTTCTGGTTGTGTGTTTTCGGTGTGTATTTGTGTGATGTAGTTTCAATCATTACTAAATATTTAGATGTGCAAGTTGTTTAGGGAAGATGACTGGCTTTTTAAATGGGGTCATAACATGATTTTTTTTTTATTATTTTAGTATGTTCCTTGAGGTTCACTTATAATGTTAATCTTTTGCACAAAAAAATCCAAAAACAAAAACAATTATTTTTAACCCCCATTCTGACCTTCTGAAATAACCAGTTTTTAAGGCACGTCTCCTTTAAAGGGATAGTTCACCCATAATTTACTCACCCTCAAGCCATCCTAGGTGTATATGACATTGGTGAGAGTGAGACGTAGGTGAGAGTTTGTTTTGCTCTATCCTCAGCGCTTTGACGTTTGTCAATACATGAGTTGCGTCAGAGTCAGTTTTCCACCACAACTCGACTTGAGTACAGCCGTTGTTGGAAGCTAGTTATCATAGTTTATACAGTTTTAAACAGTGTTGGGGAAAGTTACTTTTAAAAGTAATGCATTACAATATTGCGTTACTCCATAAAAAAAGTAACTAATTACGTTACTTAGTTACTTTTTATGGAAAGTAATGCGTTACGTTACTTTTGCGTTACTTTAAAATCTGGACAAGGCTTGCTTGTTTGTTTTTAAAATAAAAAAGTTATATTTTTGGCAAATATAAAAGCCTTTTCACACCAAAAGTGAAATGAATAAGCCTCAGGCTGAAGGGAAAGTAAATTTACGTCCGTACAGTAGAATGCAGAAGAAGAAATTTCAACACACTTAAAACACATAAATATCCCCCTGGTGTCATATGGATTACTTTTATGATGGATGGATGCACTTTATGGGCTTCAAAATCTCAAGCCCCATTCACTACCATTATGAAGCTCGGAAGAGCCAGGATATTTTTTTAATATAACTCCGACTATGTTAGTCTGAAAGAAGAAAGTCATATACACCAATATATAAGTCATATAGCATGATTAAATGCTTTGTTTAAAATGAGGACGTTTTAAGCTATGAAACTTGAAGGATGATTTCATGGTACGAAGTCCTCTTTTATGTCAAAAGATCAAGGCAAATTAGATTTATCATGTCATGATCCCTATAACTGCAAAAATTAGACGTTTCACTCACAAAGTCATATGTTTTTAATCTTTTCAGCCATCTTATAGAAACATCCAAATTCTTACTGATTCAGACTTTTATCAGATTTAAGTGTGAAGAGTATTTGTGTCTGTGTGTAAGTAGAATATCAATCATGTTCTTTTCTATTAACCTGTCGATTTGTTTTCTTCTTATAGGAGAGTGTTGTAGAAAACATGCCTTGCAAAGGGTGTCCTGTATCGCTTGCTAAATCATAAAACAACTGGCCTTTAATTGCATGAAGGAACATACTGTATCATTTACAGCACACTAAAAATAATTATAATTTTGACTGTGAAAGACAGGAAAAACCTGTTAATTGGCTAACGGTAAGTTCCCTTATTATATGCAAAAACTAACAGAGCTAAAATTACATTTTACCATTTTAGAGGTTAATTTTACTATTTTGGAAGTAAAATGATCAATCATATAATTTACAGTGAAAAGCCATGAAGTGACATTCCCAGAATCCCCTGTATGGAACTTTTTTGTTACCAGTTATGCACATTATGGTTTAATGGAACGTCCTATGTTGTTAAATTAGTGTTTATTGCATTATTTTAGTGTCATGTTTGTTAGCATAATGGTGTCTTGTGTTTGTCTGTATGACACTGTGTGCACTTTCCATATATTGGTATTCACCTCAGCTTGAGGAAAAGCTACTTGTGATTAACTTTGATTCATCTTGTGGTTTTTCTCTTTCCACACGTGTCAGTATGGTGGATGTCAGTATTTTTTGAAAATATGAAACAGATTTTAGTGGTAGCATGTCTTTGTGAATTCAGCAGAAAAGGTCTCTTGGATTTACTCTTTTGAAGTAATTTTATATGTATTTTATATAGTAATTATATATATATATATATATATTTTTTTTTTTATTATAGTTTGAATCTATTAAAGTTACAGGTTGTTCTGTTAATATGTTTGCATTTTTCTTGCATTTTTGCAGAATTACTGATTGTAATATTGCTCATATTAACATACTTAATTGTTCTTTTATTTCTGTTTAATTGTAGACCTTGCATAACAATACTTTTTCTTAATAAATCCTTGAACTCTTTCTCCTCTATCCATTTTTACCCATATTCTACCAGAACTCTTTGAGTAAAAGTATGTTTGAGAGCAGGTTCTGGATTTGTGAACAAAAATGAAGTGTCTACTAGTGTATTCTTATTGGAAATACATTTTGAAGGGCAGTACAGAAGATCCACGTTGTTTTCCATAGGCCTGAACAATATAAAAATGGTGTTGTTTCTCATGGCATGATGTTTTTATTTTCTTAAAGGGTTAGTTCACCCAAAAATGAAAAATAAAAAGTGAGGGTACACTACAGCTTCAAATGTAGAAGTGCCGACAGTACCTCACTTTCAGGCAATAATAATGAAAGCAAACAGTGCTTATATATATATATATATATATATATATATAAATAAATAAAAATATTTTTATTGTATACAGAGGGAGTAACAAAATTTGGATAAAATATATATATATATATATATATATATATAAATAAATAAATAAAAATGTCTACTTATAAATGAACAAATACAAATGTAAAACAAATATTTCAGATTATGTAATCCATATGAAACGTGCAGATCCACTACTGAGGAGATGACGACCTAATCCAATTTTACCATATCAGCCATTTTGGGCGTCAGCCATTTAGAATTTTGTTATAAAATGCTATATTTTATGAACACATTCATGTATTATCACAAAACTCATTTGGCACCATGCCCTGAAGGTTGAAGGTTGAGGTCAAAAATGTTAATAAAAAAAAGCTAATTACTTTTGATTAATTTTGCCCATTTTAATGAAACTGGTTAGATTCCTTGGGTCATGTGGAGAAAAATGATACCAATTTTGCCAATCGTACCAATCTTCCTGTCCTCCATTCTGATTTTCTTTAAAAACATTTTGCAAATGTTCCTTTGTTCAAACTCCTCCTAGACGATTTGTCCTATTGTCATCTATTGGCAAAAAGTTATGGATTTTGTGTTGAAAGGTGAAACTGTTTTTGTATACCGCATCAACAAATTGCACCTGAGGCTCTATTGCTGCAATGTTTTCATATATTGACACCAAACTTTGCATGTGTCATTGTCACATTACTCCCCAGATAGCACATGTACCTCTGCAAAATATCTGTTAAAGATCGCTTCATCTGGAAAGCATCTGCTGTGTACACATATTGTCGTCTCCGTGACGTACGTGTGCTGTCAGGGTCTGACCATTCTAAATCAGTTTGGTAACATTAAAAACAAAATTGAACTATCTCTTTTTTCTCTTCACAAAGATTAGGGATCAAAACATCAGATAATAAACAGAATGCTTATAAATTGAAGTGAGTTAATGCTACCATCTAGTGTCATTGTATAGATATACACACGTATATAGAGATATGAATGTAATCCACAGAAATGGTCAAACCAAAAAAAGTAGAAAAAGCTATTTCCAATTGTTTCTTAAAAGCAGTAGGTAATGCTTGCATTCTTGATCAGATTCTCTATATTTCCTGCAGATGCAGAATATCCCAAACAGAGTTATAATCAACAGAGATAAGAGTTTGTATCTCTATAATTCCACAATACATCATCTTCACATATCACAGTAACATCAGTGTTTAGAGTGACAGAATCTCCCTCCATCACTGACTGTATTTCAGCGCCAGACACACCTAACGTACATGAAAAGGTTTTGATTCTTGTTGAAATCAGTTTGTAACATTTAAATGTGAACTGAAGAACAGCAAAAGAGACACAAAAGATCAAATATCACTTATATGAACAGACAGATGAGCATGATCTTTTACCTTTAATGTGTGTGTGTGTGTGTGTGTACCTGGTATTTATCACGTTATGAATTTTCTTTCTGAAACAAGCAACAATAACTTGAAAGATTTTGGTATGTTCATGTGATTCTTTGAATGTTGAATTCCTAGTTATGCCACTAGGTGGCGCTCTAATACAGTATGCATGCTGATTGTGGTGTGCACACTTTATGTATTAATGAAATATCAGGCAATTTATAACAAGGGCACACTGTGTGGGATGCTGTTCTTGGAAATATAATAATACTAATAATAAGAAGAAGAAGAAAAAAAAGACATTTGATCCAAAAATTAGGAAAGCTGAAAATACGCTGTGATTTAAATGATTTTCTGTGAAAGGACTCAAAAGATAGGTGTTATAATTTATTGTTTCAATACCTAAGAGAAACTAATTTAAGTTTTTTTTTAAAAACAATCTAAGTAGCGTCGTTGTGTCACTTTTGCTAGTAATGAACGCAGGAGTGTGTCAACTTTACCGCAAAGTTTCAGTCCTGTGTTCCAGACACGAATGATTTCTCATCCTGTGCTGCTGAGGAGAGGTGTGCTGCTATTTAAAGTGACCAGACTGCTGGACGATGAATCAGGCGAAAAGGCCCTCAGACTCACATTGAACGAGGGGCCCAAGAGATATCTACAGACCAGAATATGACAGACACAGGGCTGTCCTTAGCTTACCAGTTGCACCCCCCTAAGGACGGCCCTGGACAGACACTATATCATTTCAGACATTTGGGCTCTTTTGACCAGTAAACCACCACCCACTCAGAGCACACTAGCAAAGGTACTTAAAATCTACCAGAACATCGCAATAACAACATATTTGCTAATGATTTTTTTCTACTAAAATTAAAAACATTTTCATTTGTTGGATAGCACTCCTTCACCCCATCGCTCATGTTTGGTTCCCTGATCCTCAGGTGGAGTTACAGAGCTGGAACCGGAGCAGGAGCGGATATCTTGAGCAGTCCACATAGCCTATTTGTGTCTGATCTTTACCATTATCAGTGGAAACTTAAGGTGAGCTTTTCTATCTGATCATCATCTTAATCTCACACTCTAAAATTCAACCATTGTTTTACCTATGGAGCCCTGTTGTGCTTTTGAAAAAAAAAAAAAACTAGTATGTTAGTTTCTCATCAAAGCTGATGAAAACAAAATAAACTATTAACCACCATCAAACACAAAGCATAAATTGTAATCATACATTGCATTTTTTCTTAAAATGACCCAGACACTGGCAGAAAAAAAAACAACTTTATAAGAAAAAAACGGATCAAGAATATTTCTGCTTAGAAAGAATTGAAATTCTCAGAAAAAAATGGTACAAGCTCTCACTGGTGCAGTGCCTTTTTCACCATTCAGGGACAATATGCATGCTTAAGTGGTAAATAAGATACAAAGGTATACCGCACATGACAGCTTTTGTACCTTTTTTTGTACTATTGTATGAGATCATCAAGCAAAGTATATAATATATTACTTTTTCATATTAAAGGGGTCATATGATGTTGCTAAAAAGAACATTATTTTGTGTATTTGGTGTAATGCAATGTGTTTATGCGGTTTAAGGTTCAAAAAACACACTATTTTCCACATACTGTACATTATTGTTTCTCCACTATGCCCCACCTTTCTGAAACGCTCGATTTTTACAAAGCTCATCGCTAGGTTTTGCCAGCTATCCAGTGCGTTGTGATTGGCCGAATACCTCAAGCATGTGACGGAAAT